TCATTGTAGGGCTGCAAGACTTATTTTTAATTTGCCGAAAGACATGGCATCTGCTGATGTCCTACAACGGGCCCAATGGCCGACTCTGTCTATTTATTATAAATCAGACATTTTTATCTGTTTTTATAAAACTTTCCGCGATAGGTTACCTGCTATACTGATCGATCTGATTTTTAAGAAACGGACCACAAATTATTCAACTCGGGCTTGCGCTTCCTTAATTGTTCCACGCTTCAACACGCGCTACACTGTTGAAAGACTCCGTCGTGTTTAGAGGCTCAGTCCTGTAGAGTACAGTGACCAACAATTGTAGTGCCCTGACAAAAAATATTTCATATCGTGACCTCAGGCTAAAGCTTAAATCTCTAGTTAATTTTACTGAATTAATTCTAGTTAATTTTACTGAATTAACGTCTGCACCCACTTGTAATTTTAAAAAAGATGACTTCGCATATATTTAAATTTATGTTTACAATTCCACATTCGTAAGCACAGCTGGTTTAAGTTTAGACGTTCTCTACGTACCCCTTGGTTTTCGTTTAGTACATTTAGTCATTAGTTAATTGCAAACGACCCCACAAGCTCATGTAGCTTTAACACTCATCGTTTTAAAATAAAGGCTATCTATCTATCTATCTATCTATCTATCTCTCTACCTACCTACCTACCTACCTACCTATCTATCTATCTATCTAGCAGAATGCATGCGTATATTTAAGAATACAAAAACTGAGAGGTTTCAGACAGCATTTTTTTCCAAACTTTTTTTATTCACTTTTCTTCATGGAGTGACCTTCTCTATGAAAGAAAAAAGATTGAAGTACAGTTTAGTATAGCACTGAACATTTTTTAGGTTGGTGAGTACTGTTTTTCCCTTTTGCCTCTAACAAATAATTGGGAATTGGACTGATTAACCATTTTCCACTGACTTAGGGCACTGTATGGTGGTGTGTCGTGACTGAATCACTATTGACCTTGCCTTCAGTGAATAACTGGCATGTAGAATTTGCTCTTGATTTTCAGTTTTTAAATGTCAATGATGACATAAACTTCGTGCTTGTCATTTTCATCATATATTTGCATGTTGGAGTAAGTTATGGCCTTCACCTCCGTGCCCTGATAGGAAATAAAAACAATATTCAATCCATTAATAGTTAAAAAAAATTATTACAGGTGAACTCAGGATTTTATTGCAGCTAGCACTTGAGAAATTAAGTTATGAAGTGGGGTAACTAACTGCTTAGACTACAAACAGTCCCTCCTTTTCATCAAAGTCTGTCATGCTAGTAAAAAATAATAATAATAATAATAAGCAGGGCTCCTCACTAACGGTAGCCCACTAGCCACAGACTAGTAAAAATTCAGTTTTGGTTAGTGGTTTTCGGTTTCCACTACCCAGTTTGGCTAGTAAACGAACTGACATTGTCATAGCATCGAAGATGTCACAAGCCACTCGGCTAGTAAGTTGAAAAATTAGTGTTGAGCCCTGATAAGTGGAAAAAAAAGTGCTGCAAGCAAGCCTCAGGGAACTCTTGCAGTAACACAGATGAGCTGCAGGAGCTCTGTGAGTGAGGCGGTTGAAAAGTAACATCAGTATATGCATATTCTCCATACCGTTCTCTATAGATACGTTTCCTAACCGGCAAGGAGAATTTGTTTAACAATCAAGAGCTTCTTTAGTTGGTGATCAGTTCCTTTATTCTTGTGACCTTAATGTGTGATTCAGGGGTGATATTGAAAGGAGAAAGTAGAACATTACACACATAAGTCTGCTAAGATGAATGTTATAATTTCTTGAGATGAAAAATAAACTACCTGTGGATGCTTGTCGAGGTCAAAAGCTTCACCTCTCCTGGGTATAATAATAAAACCACAACATTAAACTTTTTGGATTATAAAAAAGAAATAGCATGTTCTACATTCCTTCTCTATTAGAGATTTAAAATAGTCTACACTCAAGTCAAGAGGCCAATTCAGTCTCAGTTTATTTTGGTATCTGCAGCACAAAGAAAAATTTCTAATTATAGCATAACCAAAGTAAAGCGCATGCTCTTATTGGTCAATTCAGCAGCCACCATTTGCCCATGGGTTTACGCTACTGACGTCAGCAAATGCAAAGACTAGTTTTCTGCATGTGCTTGTTTATCTGGTCATGTAAGATTTGTTAAATAAAAGAAAACTCTTTTGCTACAATGTAACAATGTTATGTTATAAAACAAATGGTAAACACCACAGTGTACACTATTGACTTATGGATGCACTTGGTGGAAGGTTTGCTAAGCTCTCAAGAAGCTAGAGTTGCTCTCGGCTATTGCCTTGCACGACTCTTATGCTTCTTTCATGCTTAGCAACCTCCTGCATGCATCCATAACTCAATAGTGAATGCTGTGGTGATTACCATTTGTAAAGGAGAAAGTAACCAGGAAAAAGAAAATATCAGTTAAGGAGGATTTTGGTTACATTTTCCATCAAATTCTATAAGCCAAAATGAAAGAAAATGTATGGTAGATGGTACAGAAAAGTGATCTTCAGATCTTGGGTGTGAATGATTCAATGTACCCACCCTATTGCTCTTATCTTGAAATTTTCCTTGTCAAACTCTAAAATTTCAACTTCCTAGGGAAAAAATAGGGAATACCACACTAGTGATGAAAATAAAACGACATCTTGATTAATTATGTACAAAGGATACTGTACAATATCAATGCACAGTGACTGGTTAACAAAGAAATTTTCTCCTGTCATACCAAAACCTGAGAGGACTTATCAATTAAACAAAATGTAAGTTTATACCGCAATAAATATCATTAAGATACGATCAGCTGAAGTTGAATTATACACACATTGCAGTTGCTTCATACTTATGATCTGTTAGAGGACAGACCCATCAATGATAACAACAATTTGCAACACAAACAAAACAATAAGGTAAGGGTCCATGTTGCAATGCATATCCTCCCATGTACGAGAAAGTTAAGTGTTCATGAAGTCATGAATTGTGTGGGAGATGCAGTGGCCTAATCCAGGGCACTGGACTCTGGGATGGAAGGTCCTGCCCAATGGTCAGTGCACTTGATTCCAGGGTGAGATGTCTGGGTGCGAGACCTGGTGGGACCAATGCGTTGTGTTCTTGGGCAAAACAATTTATTCCCACTGTGCCTCCCTCCACCCAGGAGTGGAAATGGATACCAGTGAACAGTCAGTGAAGAAAAGGAGTGGAAATGGGTACCAGCGAACAGTCAGTGAAGAAAAGGAGTGGAAATGGGTACCAGTGAACAGTCAGTGAAGAAAAGGAGTGGAAATGGGTACCAGTGAACAGTCAGTGAAGAAAAGGAGTGGAAATGGGTACCAGTGAACAGTCAGTGAAGCACGATGAAATGCTGAGGGGTAACCTTACAATGGACTAGCATCACATCCAAGGGGGAGGGGGGAGGGTGGAATCTTAATAATCCTAGTTGCTTTATACTACTAGGAAACTGAAATACACTTTGGCTGGATGGACCATTAGGTTCAAGTAGAGACTTTGCTTTGGTTATGAAGTTTGCACCAAAGGGACCCAAGGGTTGATAAAATAGTATTTCCTGCAATGAAAAATTTTCCCCAGTAAATAACTTTTTTTCCCCATACCTTAACAATAAAGTATGGGTCGACACACATCAAGAACAGGAACTCATCAAGAAAATGGAACAATAAGTTTATCATGTCATCACCTGCAGAAATAGAGCCAAACAGAGAAACATGTATGGTTAGAATAGAGAAGAAAAATAAGCTGTAAAATGTACTGTAAATGCTCAACTGAACTCTCTACACCCTAACATCGGCATACATATTCTCCATACTGTTCTCTAATACATTGCCTAAGGTGCTGACAAGGTGAATTTGGTTAACAATCAAGTGCATCTTTAGTTGGTGATCATTTCCTTTATTCTCCTGACCGTAATGCCTCATTCAGGGGTATTAATGAAAGGAGAAAGTAGATGTTGATGACTCTCAGGGGTTAAAATTGTTAAAGGTCATGTTACCTTCAGCTGTGATTTCCTTTGTTTGCTCGATTTCAACTTTGTCTAACTCTGTCATATAGCCAAACATGGCTGTTGCTACCTTGTAAAGTATCAAGAAATTACAGTGTGAAAAACTCAGAAATACGCTAGCAGCAATAGCAAAAACTCCTTTCCAATCAAAGGTCTAAGCAAAACTGTAACAAAATTCTCAAACATGATTGTTTACTAGCAGCCCATTTAAACACTCATAGGCCAGTATACTATATATGCAAAATAAAACGGTTGTGCTTGTTCATCCAGGTAAAGTACAATAATAATAATAAAGTATTCTCATTTCTCTAATGATGTGGTCTCTTATGATGTTAATTGCAATTCACATCATAAGTAACAACAAAAAATAACACTTTATTATCATATGCAAAATACCAGTAAAAGGACAGTTTAAATCAACAATTTTTTAACTAACTGGCATGAGTATTAAAACAGAAAGTATCCGTTACACATTCAGTTATATAGATCTGTGGATTCAAGTTTTACAGAGGAAAGTACACCCCTGTGTTTCTCTATATGGGTACCTTTGACTGAAAGGTATTTTGTTCCTCATATCCTATCACAATTTTGTTTAATTAGAAGCAGGACTTTCTGCCATCTAATTCTGTCAGTAATCATACTTCAGGGCTCAACACTAACGGTAGCCCACTAGCCACAGACTAGTAGAAATTCAGTTTTGGCTAGTGGTTTTTCAATTTCTACTAGCCATTTTGGCTAGTAAACAGACTGAAATTGTGGTAACATCTAAAAATATCTAGCTAAAATGTCACTAGCCACTTGGCTAGTAAGTAGAAAAGTTACCGGCAGTGTCGAGCCCTGATACTTGCCATAAACAAATTGGACGCTGACTTTGCACTTGTCTGCTTTATTTCAACTACAATAATATACGTGAAAAAATTTCTCAGTTCTGATTGGTTAAGATGAATGCAGTTTTCAGTTAACTCAGTGCAGAAGAGAGTTAATTCAGTTCAGAAGAGAGTTAATTCAGTGCAGGAGAGTTAACTCAGTGCAGAAGAGAGTTAATTCAGTGCACAAGAGAGTTAATTCAGTGCAGAAGAGAGTTAATTTAGTGCAAAGAAAGAAACAAACCAGACATTCTGATTGGTCAGAATGATTGGTCAATGTCAATGTCAAGGTCAATGTCAATGTCAATGTCAATGTCAAGGTCAATGTCAAGGTCAATGGCACTTGCAGGGTTTGAATTTTTATTTTTGCACATGATGCGCACGCTTTTCTTCTGCGTAGTTATGAGAAGCTACCTCGTATTTTTTCATGTATATTATTAATAGATAATCACATGATTTTCTCATGCAATTTGGAATAAATGAGCACTTGTAGATTTTTTCAAAGACCACAAATTGCACTCGCCCTACGGGCTCATGCAATTTCATTAGTCTTTGAAAAAATTTACTCGTGCTTATTTATTCCAAATTGCACTAGAAATCATGTGATTACCTCTACTAATAAACCCTTCCACTCCAAAGATCTCAATAGTAATTCTTCTTACAGCTTGCCATACAATTCTTTCAATGATAGTTTGGAGAGTTTGGTATTGGATCGACCTATCATCTCCTAAATAATATTTTTCTTTACTCCCATCACTTGTCTACTTGATATTGCATTGATATTGCGAGGAGAAATTCTGTCTTGATCACTCGTGGGACTTTAAGAGTTTACAACCAATTTAGGCTTCACTCTGTCCCATTCTTTTCCAATTAAGTAACAACTTTCTGTCACAGACGTCCAAACACTCATTCAACTTCTCGTTACTTATTTACAAGGAAATGTGCAGCAGGTAGAGGGGAGAATTAACAGTCAGATCTTGGGAGTTTTATGGATTAAGTAAGACTCAAAATTGACAAAGCAAAGGAACTCTTTGCCTTCTTTAGGAAAAGCAAATTCTTATTGTGTTGAGAATTTTATTGGGATTTTCCAAATCTGAATCCTTATTTATTTGTTTTCTCTAAAATAACAAGTATAACAACCAAAAAGAGTGTACAAGGAACAATATAAACTTGTTAGTTGTAATACCTGCTCAAAAGCTTCCTTCAAATCATCACCCCCTTGATTACACAGCCATCATTTGAATTAAGAAAAAATTCCCTCATTTAACAATATTGGCAATAAAAGGTTTTTTCAAGGAGAAGTTATATCTAATCACTTATGAAGTTAAAAGGATTAGATCCTTTGTAACAGATGCAGAACCTTCAAAAGGATACAAGCATGAAGTCTGCAAGAAATTAAAACAAAAGGGAACTCAGTAACTTAAATTTCTGTTAGGCTTTTTGTTCTTTGACACACTTCAATCAGGCCGGGTAATTTTGGCCAGTCATAAAACTTAAGAGCTCTGAATACATTATTGTCCTGTGAAAAGACACACTTAAGTATAAAAGGAAAGGGATTGCTTGAAGGATAGTTCTGCTGCTACTGCAGTTCAAGTGCTCTTTATGAATGAGTAGCACCCTTTGTGATTTCAACTTTTCTACACTCTCCTTTGCCCCTCCAAAACCTTCTCCTCACCTCTCACCCCTCAAAACCTTCTCCTTACACCACAACTTGCAAAAACCTCCTCTTTACTCCTCACCCCTCCAAAACCTTCTGCTTACCCTGCACTCCTCCAAAACCTTCTACTTACCCCTCACCCCTCTAAAACCTTCTCCTTACCCCTCCCCCTAAAAAACCTTCTCCTTACACCTCTCACTCCACGAAAACCTCCTTAACCTTCACCCCTCAAAAACCTTCACCCCTCCAAAACCTTCTCACCCCTTCCCTCTTCAAAAACCTCCTTACACCTCACCCCTAAAAAACCTCCTCTTTACTCCTCACCTCTGGAAAATCTTTTCCTTACCCCACACCCCTCAAACACTTTCTCCTTACCTTTAAAAAATCTCTCCTCATTCTTCAAAAACCTCCATATCCTTCAGAAAACCTCTCCTTATCCCTCAAAATACTTCTCCTTACCTCCTATCATTCACAAACCTTCTATGTGCTCCTCACCTCCTACAGACCTTCTCCCTGATCTTTACCCAACTTAAACCTTTTTCTCACCCCTCACTTCTTCACCCACACAGCCCTAACAAACCTTACTCGTCAACCTACCCAAACCATTTCCTTACCCTTACCTTTTCCTACTCTCTCTTCACCCCTCCAAAATTTCTCCTTACCCCTCACCCCTCAAAAACTCTCTCCTTACCCCTCACCCCCTCAACCCAAACAGCCTTAACAAACCTGAGATGAGTGCAAAGCTGATTTCTTGTAAAAAAAAAAAAAAAAACCCAAAATAGCCTTCACTCGAATTTAATTCAATACAATGATCAATAACCTGGTAAAGAAACAAGGACAGCAATACTTACTGAACATCAGCTGTGTGATCTAAATCTGTTGAGAAAAAACAAAACGTAAAATCAAGAACTTCTATCTTACACCTAGAGAATATGTTGTCTTACTTCCACGTAAAGAAACATAGTTTGGTCATAAATATACTTAAAAAGAATTCTCCATCAATCGTTTGACTCTTGTTACCTTTTAATTCCCAAGATGTGATCGTTAATTCTCCCCACTGACCACTACATATTTCTTGTAAATGAGTTGGGATAATTTGGTTTAAGATCATAATATATATATAATGTAGCTCCAGCTGCCTAATACGTTGGAGCATTCTCATTTCCTGTTTGCTGGATAATGTATGGATATTATAGGGAGAAGTTATATGTTAATGAATTCTGCGCGTTTAAGGGTAAATAAACGTTTTACTGAGGTGCAGTAGTATCTTGAAAAGCAACGAAAACAAATCGCTGACTAGTCAAATAATCCGAGATAGAAATGTCAGAATCTGGGCGAGAAAAGAAAAAATCGAATTGGGCATATACGTACACTCATACTTGATGGCCTTCTCTTTATTTTCATCATGGCTTGTTGCCATCTTTACCAAAGATTTGAGGTAAAATCTTAGCCAACAACTGTCATTGACGATCGTCGGCCATGATGTATGAGCCTACGATAACAGTGTACAGATGAGTATGCGCAACGGACAGCGTGACATCAATTGCTTACAAAGATGGCGGCAGATTTGACTGTGAAAAATGTTGTACTTTTACAGGTCTGTTCGAAACTTCCTAGCGAGTAAAAATGGATTCTTTCGAAAGTAAAAAATTTAAAAAACTTTACTCTTTACATTTAAACTTATTTTTTTTAATCAACAGGCACACATGCGTGGGTTTCTTGTGCGAAAGAAGTTACTCGAAGTCCGAAGAGAATTTGAAGAAATTTTGAATGAGCTGGAAAATGACACCTACTTTGTCTGGTGGAAGACACAAGCTCCAGGGCTTCCGTTGATGAGTGCGGACCCTAAAAGACTGGTAAACGCAAGAGAGAAAAATAATTCAGTTTTTGACGGAGACAGAGACAATGAATCTAATCGAACATATTCAGTCACAGATGGATTTGGTTCACATGTGAACGGCGAGGGTGATCCTCTACTAGAAAACCCTGTTCTTCAAGATTCAAGCTTTGAAGGGCTTGGTTCAGCGTCAGAGACGTATGTAAAGAGAAGTACTGCTGAGGGTAAAACGATGGTAGATGTGAATTCTAGACACAGAGAACATGATAACGGTGAAAGGTGTAAAGTTGATGGAGGACCACCTCTGGAAAGGCCTATTTCTGGTGCGTCAAACTCTGAAAGTGTTAACTTCAGTAGAGGGTTGCATAGTAATCATGCATTTGATTTGCAAAATGGAACAACTTCCTCACAGGTGGACAAGCCAGAGATGGGAACTTCATTGTCTGAGGAACAAAATCTGGAAAGGCAGAAATTAGTAATTCCAAATGCGGAACAAACATTTCAACATGGTGGTCGAGTTGAAAGATCTCACCATATCAGAGAGTCACACTTCCCCCTTAACAGTACAATTAACCCTGGTTCACAGGATGAGCAAGAAGTAAGGAGGCCCTTTAGAACGCCTGACAGTGAATCAGACACATCCTTTCAGGCTTATGTACCTAGGACACCACGTCTGCGGGAACAAGTCCTTCTTAGTGACACTTGGTTGACTGATAAATCATTTGGTAAGACGGCATCTTTACCACAATTGGCAGTAATGTTCCAATCTAATCAGCCAATTTGCCATTGACAATAAGAGCACAGACTATGCTGCTCACTTCCATGTGTCACATAATGGTCACGCGCTGAAATAATTTTTTTTATTTGATGTTGATAGTATGGTAAAAAAAAAACAAATCAACAGTGGTTTAGCTTGGTCTGTATTTCTTTAGACAACTACATTTTTCATCACAGTGGTCAACATTTGTTGTGGACTCACTTGGCTGCACCTCACAAGTCCACAACATTTTGACCCATTGTGATGACAAATATCTTAGTTGATAAGACTACAGATTGTACTGAATCACTGTCGATTTGTTAATTAAGCTGTTAATGCCTTTATTGTTTCCTAACCTTTTTAATCCCAGGAGTAACAAAAGATAAATTTCTTACCACCATCTCAAATGTTGTGTTCCTAAGCTTTGTACAGTGGCACCTTGATTTAAAAGAGTGCTAAGGGACTGGGGAAATTGGTTCATTATATTGAGGGTTCGTTATATGGAGGTTCTGTGGCATACATTTTAGTGTAACTTTGGCAGGGCTGAAACTGAAGTATCATTTGTTAGACCGAGGACTTCGTTATGTAGAGGTTCATTAAATCTAGGTTCCACTCTATTTGAGCCAATTGGCCCATCCAGCTAGTACTTATCCTGGTTTCCATAGCAATTAGGAGTATTACCACCACCACCTGAATGGGATGCCAGTCAATTGCAAGGCTACCCCTACCCCCCCCTTAGCCTAAGCATTTTGCTAGTTTGGTGACACATTTGGCAATGAAGTAAAAAGCCATGATATTTTCATTAACTCATGTTGGAGCTCAAGTTTAACTAAGATGAATGTTTACATGAAATATTATTCTTGGTTTTTTCCTCCAATAAAATTTGCCAATTTCCTCTTGGACATCCTATAACTAGGCTTTAAAATTTGGCTTGAAGTTCCCATTTTGATTTTAGGTGGCCAAACATCAATTTTGGAAATAGTTGGGATTGGAACTCTGATCTTTGATCTCTGATCTCTCTTTATCCTCTGATCTTGCAAGTCTGAGCACTGGTCTTTGAATTCTAACAACTGAACTCTGACCTTTGTTTTTTGATATCCGAACCCTGATCTATGAACTGTAATCACTGAACTCTGACCTTTTGTCTTCCATATCTGATCTATGATTTGTGATCTCAAGAAACAGGACCTGACAAAGTGTTATCACATGACCTCCCTACTGATCCTGTCAAACTT